CATGGGGAAGGTCCCTGGGTCAATCAAGTGGTTTTGTTATCAACTACTAACCAAAAGGTTGGCAGTCGGAATCCACTTAGTGGTGCCTTGGAAGCAAGGCTGTAAGTGTGTTGTCGTTAGTTTTTGTTGAGTTGATTCTGCCTCATGGAGTTGATTCTGACCCCTTGTGTGCAGAGTAGAATTGCATTCTATAAGGTTCTTGAGACTATGCATGTTTGGAAGCAATATGCCAGGTCTTATTTCCAAGGAGTTGCTGGCTGGGTTTGAACTGACAATATTTTGGTTAGTAATCCAGTGCTTACCCGTTTGTGCCACCCAGGGACTCTGTCCGTAAGATAACAGTCATGGAAAACCCTATGGAGCACAGTTCTGCTCTGAAACACCTGAGGTCACCATGTGTTAGAGTTGACTCTTGGGTAACAGGTTCCTTTTATATATTTGTTTAATCTTGCAGAAGTAAATTGCTAGGCCTTTCTTCCATAGCCAGAAGCCTAATCCTGCTTTTCCCTGTGTTTGCACTAGACTTACACACCTGCCTGCATTAGCATTTGTTTACCTGTCCCCTAGAACACAGGTTGTATGAGGGAAGAGCCTTCACTCATCTTTGTATACCCAGAGTGGTGCCGCAACAGGGTACCCATCAGAATCATCTGGGAGCTTTTTAAAAATATGGGTATCAGGACCCACCCACAGATCTACAAAAACAGCAACTCTGCAAATAGGTATTTTTAAAAAGCCCCAGTGTACAATGCCCTGCACTGAAACGAAACCAAACCTCAAACTTTTGGGGTTAGTCAATGTCAATTCATGGTGACCCCCATGTATTACAGAGTCAAATGCTCCATAGGGTTTTCTGGGCTGTAATCTTACAGAAGCAGATTGCTAGACCTCTTGTTCATGTCACTGCTGGGTGGGTTTGATCCATCAACCTTTCCTACAAACCATTTGTGCCATCCAGGGACCTTGACCTGCACAGAATAAGTATTTAATAAATGTTTCCTGAATGTCTGGTCAATTTCCTAGCAAGGCTGCCTGGAGAATTATTTATACCTACTTTCATCTCCTTTTCCAGCTTGTGACTTTGTGCTTTCACTTTTTATTTCCTTTAGCTTGAAAATTTATCATAACAACCAAAGAGCAGTTATTACTGACAATACAGCGACCTTTTGTTTAGAGACTCTAATTGTTGCCCTCATCTTAAGGTCAGTATATTGTTGACCCATTTCTTACTGTCTCAAATATCCAGCAGTAACTTCAAAACTATACTTCAGAATTCCAGTCACCTTGGGGCAACTTGCCCACAAGGTGTCTGTGGCTGATCACGGTGATCCGATCCGCATTATCTTTTAAGGTAGTTGTAAGACCTTAAGTTCTTTCACCTCTGAGTCTGCATTCTACCAACATCCCCCACCCCC